GTTCCACATGCATGCCCTATTTAACACTGACGCCACTGAAGCTGAGGTGAAATGGTACTCCAGAATTGGAGATCTTTTCCTTCTACTCACTCCTCTTCTTCCATTTCCCTGCACCTGACCCACCAAACAAACATCTTAGCAGGCTATGAAGGCACTCATTTCTCTAAGTTTCCAACCCCAGCTGTGCTGTGCTATGCTGGCATATAATTGTTGTAGGTAGCAGAGAATTGGTTTTCAACTTACAGCATACCATGTGATAGAATAGAACCGACCCCATAGGGCTTTCTAAGCTTTCTGTTCCTGCAAAGACCTACAGCTTCGGACACTCTAAACAGGGTCACTACAAGTAGAACCGACTTCATGGCACTTAACAACAACATGAGTCGTCCCGGTCTTTCTCCCTCAGACCCACTCGGTGAGGTGAAAATGCCAATGTACTGGTTAGCAGCTGAGCACTTAACCATTGTTCTCCTTGGGGTAGGATTATTAAGTGGTGAATTGGTCAGAAGGATTTATTGCACAAAATTTATCAAGCATAGTATGACAATAGAAAACTGTATCACTCACTTGAAGGAACTAGCTTATCTATAAACAATGCTTATAAAATAACTTTCTATTAAAAAAAATAAGTGCTTTGCAAATGAATTCCGATTGGAAACACACTTCTACTTAAGTAAGAAAATAGATTCAAATAATCTGGATATAAGATTCTATTATAATACCAAGTGTACTGTATATTCAAACCATTTGGATGTATAGTAACTGGGTATTGCAATGTGGGAATACAGTCACACCTCTGTGAACTGCTCTTCAAAATAGCAGCTCTTTTTCCCCCCAGGTACTTTCCATAATCTAGGATTTCCTCTCTGGCATCCATCCTTGTCTCAGCCTGCACCGCAGGAATTTTTCCCAGGCCTGACAACCCTCTCTCCATGTTTGGAGATTCCAGAAATGTGTTCCCTCTTGCTTCTTTTGTTAAGAATTTAGAGTCTAATAAAACTTTTGTTAGGAATTTATAGTCTAGCAAGAGTCAGCTATAATAACACACCTAGAAGCATTATAAAAAATAATTCTTTAAGTTTGAAGTGTCAATTGCATAAAACAAATCCTTTTTCCCAGCTAATTGAGTTTTTAAACACTTTCAAATGTTGGGGAAGAATTACAAGAATTTTACGAAGAATTCTCACCCGTATACCTTTTGCCAAGATCTTGATTGGATTCACAGATTTGGCCATATGTGCACTCTGTCTCCTAGAGGACAGAACCGCCCCTAGGTTTCCAAGGCTTTAGAACCTTTATGGGAGCAGATCAACAGGTCTTGTCTCCAATGGAGCCTCTGGTAGATTTGAACTAGAGAGTTTGGGGTTAAGATTAAGCACTGCGCCACCAGGACTCTATGTATCGATGTCTGTTGATGGCTATGTCTATATGCCTGTGCTTACACAGCTATGCCTATATATCTATCTATATCCATATATTTATTTCTATGTATCTATGTCTATGCTCTATGTCTGTCTCTACTGATACCCTAAACACTCTGAAAGTTAATAGCAAAATCATAACCTTTTACCCCTGAATTCTTCACCATGTATTTAGTGAAAACACAATTTTTTTTTTTTTTACATAACCACAGTACAATGATAAAACTTAGGAAACCTAATGGATACAATACTACTACCACACACATATACATCCCTATTCAAACTTCAACAGTTGTCCCAAAAACATCTACTTCAGGCATTGTTTTTTTTTTCCTCCTAATCCAGAATCCCATACTGTATTTAGTTTTCAAGTCACTTTAGTTTTCAAGTCATTCTTCTTCTTCAGTGCGGAGCAGTTGCTAAACCTTTATTTTAGAAAGGAGTCATCTCTTTCTAAAAATCCTGTACTTTGCCCATGACTGTTAATCCCTCACGATGAAAAGCAGATTATGAATTTCTGACAGAACATTACATAATTAATTCTGTACCCTTCTCAGTGTATCATATCAAGAGGAACAAGATGTTGCTTGGTCCCACTTTTGTTGTTGTTTTATTTAAAATTTTGTAGTAGGTTGACTTGGCTTCAAAAAAAAAAATCTACATTATGACTGATCCCCTATATAAATGTGAATTTTAAAGACATTTAATGGGTCAAATTCTAAACCTTAACATATAATCTTTCTACATACAATTTTCTAAAATATTAGATCATTGGCATAATAATAATGAAGCAGTACAAAGGATAAGAATGCTAAATTTTTATGCTTTAATTCTTAATAATGCTACTAACTTGCTAACAAATCTTCCTGTTATTAGTGGCACTGCATGAACAAAACACTGCCCAGCCTACACCAGCCACACAGTTGTTAGGCTTGAGCCCACTGTTGTTACCACGGTGTCAACCCATCTCACTGAAGGGCTTCCTCTTCATCACTGACCCTCCACTTTCCAAGCATGATGTCCTTCTTCAGGAACTACTCCCTCCTGATCACATGCCCAAAGTGCCAGGGACAAAGTCTTGCCATCTTCGCTTCTGGCTGTAGTTCTTCCAACAAAGATTTGTTTGTTCTTCTGGGAGTCCACGGTACTTCAATTTTCTTCAACACCATAATTCAAATGCATGGAATCTTCTACAGTTTTCCTCATTCATTATCCAACTTTGATAGGTATATGAAGCTACTGGAAATACCATGGCTTGAGGCAGGTACACCTTAGTTGGCAACCTGATATCTTTGCTCATTGATACGTTAAAGGGCTGTTTTGCAGCAGATCTGCCTAATGCAATATCCTTTGATTTCTTGACTGCTGCTTCCATGAGTGTTGATTGTGGATCCAAACAAAAGGAAATCTTTAACAACTTCAACCTTCTCTCCATTTATCATGAGGTTATTTATTGGTCCAGTTGTGAGGATGTTCATTTTCTTTACACTGAGGTGCAAACCATATTAAAGGTTACAATCTTCGATCATCATCAGTAAATATCCCAAGTTCTCTTTGCTTTAGGCAAACAAGGTGGTGTTATCTGCATATCACAGGTTGTTAATAAGTCTCCTCCAATCCTAAATGCCATGTTCTTCTTCAAATCATCCAGTTTCTCTGATTATTTGCTTAGCATACAAATTGAAAAAGTATGGTGAGAGTATACAACCTGACAGACACCTTTCCTGATTTTATACCATTCAGTAATCCCCTGGTGGTGGTGGATGGTGGTGGTTATGTACCATGGAGTCAGTTCCAACTCACAGCGACCCTGTATAGGGTTCCCAAGGCTCCTTCAGGAAGGCATTCCTCCCGTAATCCCCTAGTTCTGTTCTAATGACTGCCTCTTTGTCTATGCACAGGTTCCTCATAAGCACAATTAAGTGTTTGAAATGTTATCCATACTTTGTTCTGATCTATACTAACAGATCGTGGTGGTGGTTGGTGGTTATGTGCCATGGAGTCAGTTCTGACTAGAGCATCCCTATACAGGATTTCCCAGGCTGTAATTTTTCACAGGAGCAGAAAGTCTCATCTTTCCCTAGCAGAACTGCGGGTAGTCTCAAACTGCTGACCTTGATGAACAGTACAATTCATAATCACTATGCTACCAGCTAGCGTAGTGGTTACGAATCGGGCTGCGAACCTTAAGGTCAGCGGTTCGAAACTACCAGCTGCTCCGCGGGAGAAAGATGAGGCTTTCTACTCCCGTAAAGATTTACACCCTCGGAAACCCTGTACAGGGTCGCTATGGGTCGGAACCAACTCGATGGCACTTAACAACAACAACCAGAGCTTCATAATAGATCTTAGACAATTTAATTTATCTCCAAGACTATATATGCTTTTTATATATTATCTAACTTGGTATTTTAAAAGAAACTTTTTATAGAACAACCTGAGATCAATTGAACATTCATTTCATTTGCATTTTGGCAACTTCATGAGCAAATAGCACATCCCTGTGAGGCAGCTCCTTTTCTAAAGCACAGAGTCACTTTCAAAAATACATCTCAAGGAAGTATTGACAAAAAATATAACATTTTAGATTTTCTGTCTTACAAGAAGAGATATACCAAAAAGGAATCTAGAGTGAAATGTTTTGCTACAAAGGATTTGTCTTTACAAATGCAATTTAATGATATTATATAAATAGTTAAAGCTAATTACTACAAAAATGATTCCTTGTGGTTTTTAGGATTTAGAAAAATGAAGGTAAGCCTAACATAGCAACTTCCCTCAGAGATATCATCAATATGGTTATCGTTGTTGTTGTTGTTGTTAAGTGCCATCGAGTCGGTTCCGACCCATAGCGACCCTGTATAGGGTTTCCGAGGGTGTAAATCTTTACAGGAGTAGAAAGCCTCATCTTTCTCCCATGGAGCAGCTGGTAGTTTCGAACCGCTGACCTTAAGGTTCGCAGCCCGATTCGTAACCACTACGCTACCAGAGCTCCTTATCGTAAGTATTATTAAATCATACTGAAAAACAAACCAAAACAAATCCATTTTTCTCACAGTTTACATCATTCACCTAATCCTTGAAATATACAAATGAAATAATTAACTCTGATTAAGTATGGTCCTTAAATTCAAATTAATTTCAAATATACCAAGAACTAGAATAACAGATCAGATTATGGGGACATTTACTACTATAGTAAATAAACACATTCAAAGGCTTCCATATAGTCTTTCCATTTTTCTCAACTTATTCTCATTGTTCCTCCCTTTTCCCTTCTCCATTCTCTCTTATATACAATGTGTCATAATTTTACGATGAAAGTCTTATAGATTACTCTGAGCCATTTCAACACGCAAGTTGAGGTTATCTATTATTTCTAAACGTATTCTTCAATTGTAGTCTTAACCGTCGGTTCAGTTCCATTGTTTTTAGTTTGTCTTCTTCTTTTCCTTTTTCAGGAACTCCAATTATCCATATGATGACTCTTCTTTGCCTGACTTCCATTCCAACCACTTCATCTCTAACCTTTTCACTTGTTTCTTTATATCACTTTCATTCTCCTTCTTGTTACCCTACCTTTCTTCGTGGTCCTGTATTATCTTTTCATTCAAATTGTTGATCCCTTTGGCACCTTGCAAGTTTATCTGTAGTTCTATAAAAAGTAAATTTGATCATTTTATTTGACTTCTTTCCTGAGTTCAGTCAACTTTCATATCAATTCTTCCTGGGCTTGGGTCTATTTCCATATTTAGATGTTTTTTGTTTTTGTTTTTGTTTTTTTAATTTTATGATGCAAGTTATTTTTCATGTGTCAGTGTTTAACTGAAGATACTTAATTTAGTTTAGAGTGTCATGTTATAATTTGTGTCTGCTTCATAGCAATTATTCAGAGAATAATTTCCATCAACTGTGATATTTTGATTCTCCATTCTGTTTTGGTCTTACAATAGTTTCATACAGAAGACTAATTACATGTATGTTTTTCACCCACAGGGTTGACAAGAGGAGATGATTTACACGATTTCCTGGTTCAACAGCACCCTCTCCTGTCAGAGTAGCAAAGTGCAAGGGCTTAAAATTTGGCTTCACCACAGACTACGCCTACCACCTATGTATATAATTTTAAGTCCCTTCCTCTTTAATAAGTGTTCTTATTTACCTAGATTCTTTTTTAATATTTCCACACTTAGAATGGACTTTCTCTTTTTGAGGGTGACTTTTCTCAATCTTCTCCTGTCTCTTTCACACATTTTCCCAGAAACTCTTAACTGCTAGAAAGGTTTGTAGTGGAAGATGCTGCTACTAAAAATTTAATGTTTATTTCTCTACTTAAAATAATTAAAATTTAAAATATCTTCTGTCTTCTAGTTATGTTGAATGGCAGGGGTTTATGTGGCTTACTTTGTTTCTTATTCATCGATACCGTTTGGGGAGGGTGTAGGAAAAATTGAAATTTAGCTACCTGGATGTCCTTCGTTTATGATTCTTAATCAGATAGTTCATCCTTATATCTGAAATCTGATTTCAGGTTTTACCTTTGTAATCGTGTCTTCCTTACTATAGCGGATAATACTGTGCTCCATTCATATCTCCTCTTCAGAGCTGACGTACCTATTCTCTCCGTTGCTGGATATCATAACTGCTGGCTACTCACAGTTGTGACTCTCACTAGGTATAAACCTTGACCATAGAAAAAAGTCCTTGCTCAAGGTTATCTATACTCTCCACCGTGAAGCCAGCAGCTAATGACTGGCTAATACAAGGATCTAAAGCCCAGTCCCCTTGCCTTTACTTTTGACAACTTTGAAGGGTCATCCTAGCTCCCTATAGGAATAGCTGAGGTCTCAGCTGTCTCTGCATTGTCTATCAGCTTTTATGTCAGTCCAATTTTATCTTCTGACTTTCTTATAGATAGATATACTGAGTGCATGCTTCACTAAACCTTCTGCAAAGAATTCTCTGCCACGAAGTCTGTTTTCAGTGCATCTAACTTAATCTAAGACTATTATCATCATATATAGTACACACTGAGTTATAAGCCAAACATTGTTCTGTTCTGCATACATTGTGTGTTGTTGTTAAGTGCCATCAAGTCAGTTCCAACTCATAGTGACACTGTATAGTGTTTCCTAGGAGCAGCTGGTGAGCTTGAACCACCGACCTTGTGGTTCAAATTGACCTTGCAGCCCGGCACATTAATCCACAGCGCCACACCAGACTCCATACATTGTATGTTGTTGTTAAGTGCTGTCGAGTCGATTCCAACTCGTAGTGATCCTGTGCAGGGTTTCCAAGGAGTAGCTGGTGAGCTTGAACCTCCAACTCTGCAGTCTAGCGCATTAACCCACAGCGCCTCATTCACTTAATTCTCACAAGGCAGCTGGGGTTTGGGGAGTATGTGTCTTATCATCTTTATATCTCATATCAGAAAAGAAAATCAGAGCAAAGATAAGTATCTTGCCCAAGCTACCAGCCACTCCATAAGAGAAAGATGAGGAGATCTGCTCCCTAAAGATCAGGAGCCTCAGAAACCTTATGGAACACTTCTACTGTGTCCCATAGGGTTGCTACAAGTCAGACTTGACTCGATGCCAGTGGGTTTGATTTAGTTTGGTTTGCTTTTCCTTAATAAATGGAAAAGGAATCATTTGAATCCAGTCACTCTGACTCCAAAGTCCAATTTCTTGTCTGCTTCACTATGTTGCCTCTCATTCATAGCACAGTCTGCTTCTGACACATACCAGGATAATTACAAATAATAAGGTGATTTATTTTTTTTAACGTACAGCATTCTCATTAATGGATTGGCCGTAATGTGAGTTACTAAGGATGGAACTCAATTTCATGAATTTTGTCTTTCAAAGCTCTAACATAAAAAAATAAATAAATAAGACAAGCATGCTTGCAAATCTATCCTATTATAACTCAGTCCTAAATAGGATTACTATTTATATGTTAATATGTATACATCTATTATCAATTTGTTTGTTGTCATGTGCCATGGAGTCAGTTCCAACTCATAGCGACCCTGTACAGGATTTCTGAAAGTGGCTGGTAGGCTTGAGGCTGCTGGCCTTGCAGTTAGCGCCGTAAGCAGTTCATTGGTAAGCTCTCCTCTTTAGGTTCATTTTGTTATTTTGTATCCAAGTAATGACAAAAAGATTGTAAATTTTCATAAAAATTCTTACCTCCATCTTGAAATTTGCTTAGTCTTTCAAAATAGGATGACATGGGGACCTGTACAATATCTAGGATAGCCAGAAGTGTTCTTGTCAGCCTCAGTAACTCACTGAAACTATAAAATCCAAAGTAGATAAGATTCCGAGCCAAGTGGACCACCTGGATTTGAAAAAGAAAATGGGGGTGGGGTGAAAAACAAAAGAGAAATATTAAGAACTGAAATAAATTGGCATTTTTAAAAATTAAAATAGTTCAAGTATTCTTAAACTTTCTAATTCTTTAACCCATAATACTTCAAACACCTGCAAAAGCTTACCAATTGGATCTTAATCTAATCAAGTTCATAAGTAAATCCAATTAAGACAAGCTAACCAACCCTAGAAAGAAGACAAGATTTGGGGGCATTAAGCAGGTTAAAGAAGTTTGTATTAGAAGTGTTTATCTTTCAACTAAATTTTAACTCATTTAAATCAAATGATATCATTTAATAAGTGGCTGGTGTTGTTAAGTGGCTTCAAGTCGATTCTGACCCATAGCGACCCTGTACAGGGTTTCTGAGGAACAGCTGGTGAGCTTGAACAACTGACCTTGCAGTTCAAATGGCTTTGCAGTCTGATGCATTAGCCCACAGCGCCACACCAGGACTCCTTAATAAGTGGTACATTAATTAATTATTGTTAAATCAAGTTCCAATGTTAAATTACTCATGAAATTTGTCCAGAAATATATGTTTCCTCGTCTGCTTCTTACGAGGTCTTGTGAATACCACAGAGTAAGCCAGGGTGAAAGCCACCCTCAAGATGACAGCCAGCGCATAGTCTCACCCCACATCATAATGGAACTATGTGACCACTGATACGCAGTAGAAGTATCACTGCCAAGATTGCATTATAAAAACCTGCAACGTCCACCTTGTGCTAGTCCTCCTATTAGATGGTTCACTTTGAGGAAGTCAGATGCTATGTTGTGAGAACACTCAGTAAGTCTATGGAAAGGCCCAGGTGGTAAGGAGCTGAGCTGTCTGGTCACAATCTAGCAAGGAAGGCCATCAACAACCACGTGAGTGAGTTTAGAATGAGAGCACCCCAGATGACCAAAGTCCCAATCGATGAGCTTGACTACAACATCCTGAGTTAACGTAAGGTCCCTGCTGAGCACTCCAGGATCCATGCTAACAGAGACCATGAGATAATAAGAATTTGTTGCCTTAGATGCTAAGTGTTAGGGTAATTTGTTCTATTGCAATTGATCATTCATACAATAGGTAACAAGTAATAGTAATTTCTCTATAATTTTACATAATATTCCCAAAATGATATTACAGCTATAAAATATTTCAGGTCAGTTTAATGAAGTTTTTTTAAAACACCAGTTACTCAGAGATCAAAAAAAGGGTCCCCAACACATTATGTTGTTGTTGTTAAGTGCTTTGAGTCAGTTCCGACTCATAGTGACGCTGCGGTTTCTGAGGCTAAGCATTATATTGTTGTTGTTAAATGCCATCAAGCCATTTCTGACTCATAGCGACCTTGTATGGGATTTTCAAAGGGCAGTTGTTGAGTTTGAACCACCGACCCCGTGGTTCAAACCAACTTTGTGGTCCAGTGCTTTAACAAATGTCTTTGTTCAGTAAACACAATAAAAAGTTACACAAAAAGAATGGGGAGAAAAAGAAAAACAATATTGAACATCAAGTATAATCAACGAACCATGTAAGTCTGTCTTTTAGTCAATGACAGAGAAATGAACTAAGCTACTTAATTACCATAACATCCAGAATATTAGAGGGAAAAAAGGATTTATGTTCAATGTAACAAATTTCTTATATAGAATATTTAATAGCTTCACAAATACATTGATTCAAAAAAAAATACCTCAAACGTCAGTTTGTTTTTTTCTTTATCCCCAAAAGGAAAGGGTTGATTTACAACTTCTTTCAAGTATTCTTCAACAAATTCCATTGTCAGTGCAAATTTCCTCTTCATATCATTTCTTGAAGAATCTGTTATAGAATCATATCTGGAAAGACAGAAAGAAGGGAAACTGATTACAATCATTTACAAAGAGGAAAAGACATCATATTAATTTGGCTTCAAAATCTTGGGTAGATTAGCTAGCCTTTTCTAGGTGTTGTGTTATATCTGTAAAATAGGGCTATCATAAACTGAGTTCACACATGTAAAGCACTACATCAGAGTCTAACATGATATTAACATTTAACCACATATTACTCTTGTTAATAAATAATAAGATTTTTATTGTTTTCAGAATCTCTATTCTCAGTAAGAATTGTCTTTTTACTCTATAATTTGAGTGTTGTTTTTCCCTTTAGAAGAATAACAACCTGAATTAGAACACAGCAGAAATGCCTTCTCATACACCCATTTTAAAACTGAAGACATTTATTTGGTTTTGAGTTCATGTGCTAAATTCAAAAGCCTCGAGAACATTTTCTGAACATACTCATGAATCGTGATCTTTGTGGGAATTTCTGTCCAGAGTCTGGCATAACGAACAGGCACCACAGACTCTTGGGGATCCCGGTCAACATGCATGTGGAGCATGAGGCGACAAAAAGATGCTCGGAGGTCAAAGGGCAGGCTCTCATCTGACACACACCGCAGAATCAAATCTACAGAGAGCTGTGTAGAAATCTGGTTTATGGCCAGATACTGACGATCCAAGCACATTCTTGCAAAGAGGTTTAGCTGGTACCTTCAAAATATTAAACATATTACATTATTTGATAAATTTGATGAAATTCTGAAATAACATATTACTGATCAGTTATCTACTTTGATGATACCACGGTTCAAGGGTATATAACATTGGCATGAAACTCTTCTGGTAGTAGGTTAACTAATCAAATGGAAACATATACTCATATATGAAACTGCCCCTATGTTGGTTCAATGTCCATTTCTCTAATGGTTCCAATAGTATGAGTCTGGTATAACATGATACTGGACTCCGGTTGCCAGGCACCTAGGATACAAACATATTAAGTCTAATACCTCACATGAAGCTATCCCTCTCTACCTTCTCCAGTCCCTCGGCTGCAGGCTCTAGTTCCTGAATCAAATAAAACCAAGTCAAATGGTATCAGTACACTCGGATTCTTCAGCCTCTGAGATCAAGGATTAGCCTTTGGAGACCAGGGAAGGTGAGTCATTCTCTTACTTTCTCTGATTCCTGACATTTGGGTCCAACATAGCCCAAGGGCTTTTGCCTTGCAATCCTATCACTTAAACTAGCTAGGTTCCTGCTCCCAACATACTTATCACCAAGAACTTTACTTCTGCCTATCAACCTAACTTCAGAATTCACTAGCATTGATAACTTCTGTGGCCATATTCTTCTGGTGAACCTCTTAACTTAAGAGAAACCTCAAACCAGTTTATCTTAAGCCCTGTTGTTGTTGTTAAGTGCCACCAAGTCGGTTGTGGCTCATAACAACCCTGTGTAGGATTTCCAAGCCTTTTAAATCTTTACAAGAGCAGAAAGCCTCATCTTTCTCCCACAGAGCAGCTGGCAGGCTCAAACAACTGATCAAATTGCTCATAGTCGAGTGCTTACCCTATGGAGCCAATGTGCTCCCAAGCCCTAGGTCACCATTTATTCAAAAATATTATACACTAAACTATTGGCTAACTTCCTCTAATGACACATCTGTACTCGGGTAAGTTTTATCATCCTCAGTTACATCATTCGCTCATTCCCTAAAGCCTATGTTCTAACATGTCTCTCACATACACCCACTCCAAGCAATACCAGGAATAAAACACTTTATGCACAAAAATCCCAAAATATTGTAAAATCCCCAAACTACAAGTAGTATACATGAAAAACACAGATGTTAACTTGTGAATGTTTCATATATTTCAGCAACCCTACTTCTGACTTGACTGCTCAATTTTCCCTTCCTAGAGGTTTCAGGGAAGACTGTATCTGAGACTTAGAACTAGGATTCGCTACAATACTCAACCTGTAGTAGGTAAGAACTTCTAAATCAGCTTTGGTGCCTTCTTTTGCCTCTTGAGCGAGGTGCCTGATAGCTTTCCCATGAGGTTCCTTGTTGCTGTCAATCCAATAGAGCCAAACTTCTTCATCATCAACATCGTCTGAAAGGATGGAGGTCTCCATGGGGTTGTCTACTTGCATTGAGACCACCCTTGAAATAAATAACATGTACTAACTAAATTCATCAAGAAACTCATAGATATGATTTTTTAAAAAAGAAACAAATAATGCCAACAAATAATGAACAAAAAATGATGCCCCCTTATGTGGGCTTACTTAGTTTGGATAAGAATGTCTGCATTTCCGGGACTCAACATAAATTTACAGATGAGCTCCTGTGTTACAGGTATCGCCGTAGTGTTAGACACACAAAGATCTGACAAATAATCCAAAAACCTGGCAAGAGAATAAAAATAAACTCAACATAAAACACAGCACTGTATTAATCACAACAGTAAAGATATAATTTGAGATATGACCAAAAAATTTTTATTTTATAATATTTTATGATTATTTTAGCACATTTATAGTATTTCATTTTTATATTTTACAGATATTTTATATGAGTTCCATATAAACTTTTTCTATTGTATTACTTATCTACTCCATGGCTGAAGATAAATCAAATGTCAAAGTGTTGGTACTGAATACAAACCTTGTTACAAAAGGATGTGCAGTTGCTGCTTATATTTATTTGATGATAATCATTCCACAGTGCTGTGGCTTATCATGTCTAGAAGATTATGGAGATAAATCAGACTATCCCAGAATTGAATATCAAAACTAACGCAGATCAAAAGTAATGTTGTGCTGAGTAAAACAAGCACACACTTAATGAGAGTAATTACGGCTGGTCTAGTCACAAAGCCAAGGAACTCTGGTAGCGTAGCGGATTACAAACTGAGCGCTCGCTAACCACAGTTCAAATCTGTCAGCCGCTCCACGAAAAAAGATGAGGCTTTCAGCTCCCGTAAAGAGTGACAACCTCCAAAACCCTACACAGGGTGGCTATGAGTCAGTACTGACTCCGCTATGAGTCAGAACTGACTCCGAGGACACTCTCTGTGCTTCTATTTTCTCAATGTATTTGTTGTTGTTGTTAAGTGCCATTGAGTCGGTTCCGACCCATAGCGACCCTGTACAGGGTTTCCGAGGGTGTAAATCTTTACGGGAGTAGAAAGCCTCATCTTTCTCCCGCGGAGCGGCTGGTAGTTTCGAACCGCTGACCTTACGGTTCGCAGCCCGATTCGTAACCACTACGCTACCGGAATCAGCACTGGAATGCTAACCACAAGGTTGGCAGTTCAAACCCACCAGGTGTTCCTTAGAAATCTAAAACGGGGTCCCTACAAGTCAGAACCTATTTAACAGCACTTAACAATTAACATTAAGGAGCTCTGGTAGCAAAGTGGTTACAAATCGGGCTGCGAACCTTAAGGTCAGAGGTTCGAAACTACCAGCCGCTCCTCGGGAGAAAGATGAGACTTTCTACTCCCGTAAAGATTTACACCCTCGGAAACTCTGTACAGGGTCGCTATGGGTCGGAACCGACTCAAAGGCACTTAACAACAACAATTAACAATAAACTGAGGATAATAACATATGCCCAGTGGATTTCATCAGGATGCGCTAGGATTTAAATGAGGTAACATAAATGAACATATTTTGAAAATCTATAAAGTATTATAAGGAGCTCTGGTAGCGTAGTGGTTACGAATCGGGCTGCGAACCTTAAGGTCAGCAGTTCGAAACTACCAGCCGCTCCGCGGGAGAAAGATGAGGCTTTCTACTCCCGTAAGGATTTACACCCTCGGAAACCCTGTACAGGGTCGCTATGGGTCGGAACTGACTCGACGGCACTTAACAACAACAACAACATAAAGTATTATAACATAAGAACTAGCTTAAGTTAGTGTCATATAAAAATCAATTTTATGAGGATAAGACAAAAACTATTGCTGTAAAATAATAGACACTTTAATTAAACAAAATATCAAGCTGTGAAGCTAATGTTTCTCAACATATCTTCTATCTCGGGCTGTGCACTTCTGAAGACAATGTTTCTATCTCTCAAATCCTTCACTGAAGAATTCTGCAGTCTTCAATTTACACCACATCCAAACAGCAGTTTGGGTGTCTTCAAAAGACTCAAATAGTATTCTGTTGAAATGTTCTTTGAATTTTGACTGGAAAAAAAGTCTGAAGGGGAAAGGTCAAGGCTATAGGGTTGATGGGGCATCAACAGTAAAATTCTCATAGACCAGCCCTTGCTACCTTGCAAGAATAAGCAGGTGTACTGTTATGATGGGAAAAAATTGCTTTATGCAACTTTCCTGGCCTTTTTCTCATCAAAGTAGTTTTCCATTTTCTTAAAAATCCTCCGTAATAAGCCCCTGTGATCGTCCTGTGTCCTTCAAGAAAATCTATCAAGATGATTCCTTTAGGAATCCCCAAAAATGGTCAACATAACTTTTGAGCTGACTCTCTTCCTTGAATTAAACTGATCCAGCAGACACCCTCAGAAATAAGTTTGGATTGGACCATTAAAAAAAAAAAAAGCATGCTAATGAAACTAAGACAAATGTGTTAGTACTACAGCCATCCACTGATGTTGTTGTTAAGTGCTGTCGAGTCGGTTCTCACCCATAGAGACCCTGTATAGGATTTCCAAGGAGCATCTGGTGAGCTTGAACCACCAACATTGCAGTTCAAACAGAGACTTATTTAAACACATTTTATTTGGAATGAACCCATGCCTTTATGAACTGGAGTCCTTTTTTTTACTTACCTTCATCTTTAAATGTAAACCTATCAAGGACTTTGACCTCTCATGAGGTAATAACTCTTTATTATATGTCATTATCATAGTAATAAACCCAATACAGTATGTCCAGGAAAGCTAATGACAAAGGAACTCTAACTTTTTTTAAAGCTCTAAAACCAATCGAAAAGCCACAATCCCCACTAAAGAATACTACAAGAACCACTTCAAACCTTGGCTCCCGATTTCTCCTGAGTAAACTGACAAATGTTTCTATTTCTTTTGCTGTGATATGTTTCTCAAGGAGTTTTCTGTTGTTGTGCAACAAAGCTGTGATGGTATCTTCTGCCAAAATATCATAGCCAATCTGGGACTGCATGACACAGAAATTCTTAGCAATATATTCCTGCAAAGAAGAAAGGCTGTCAGAATGAGCTGCCAAACAGCTTAGAAATCACAGGCTCTATTAGAGTTGGCAAACCTGATTAATTTATTCATAGCTAAAAATTACTGTCAAAAGAAAAGCAAATCGATATTCTTGAATAAATACTTTTTTGGATGAAGGACATGAAACACAACAGCATATGCCTAATTGAAATTATAAGAAATCTATTAGCATATATCCTGAGTGGTCAATGGTCAATATCCTTAGCTGTTAATGCAAAGGTTGGAGGTTTGAGTCTATTAAAACACACTTTGGAAGAAATGCCTGCATCTATTTAGAAAACAATCAGCCATTTAAAACCCTACAGAAAACAGTTCTATGCCGATACACATTGGATCTGCTTGACTCAGAACCAACTCAACAGCAATTGATAATGTTGAAATTATACTGAAAATAATTTAACCTTTAGCGTAGGTACTTGCACTGTTATATGTGGTTAAAACAAACATTTGTATTCTGGTTAGTCTGCTTTATATATTCGTTTTAGAGCTTTTCTTGATCTTGTAACCGAATTTCAAAGCCAACATATTTTAACACCTTCTTAAAGAAAATCTTTTTCCCTACTGAAAAAACACTTTCAAACTACAAGAAGACAATAGTGTGATGATGATTAAGAGCCTGAATTTGTATACTGACTTCATTCTTAAAACTCTGATCTTGGGTAAGTTACTTAAACTTCTCTGTGCCTGGGCTCCTCATCTTAGCTTAGTTATTACTGTTGTTAAAGTGCCAATTAGTCAATTTTGACTGGTAACAATCACATGTGACAGGAGCAGAACTGCCCCTAGAGGATTTTCTATGCTACGATCTATATGAAAACAGATCACCAACTCTTTCTCCCATGGAGTTCAGTAGGTGGATTCAAGCCCTCAACCTTACCTTAGCAGTCAATCACTTAAATATTAAATAGAGCACCCCACCCCATATTTAGAAGGATAATAATATAGCAGTTGTTCTGAGGATTAAATGAGTTAATTCACGAAAATGCTTAGAACTAATCTGACACAAAGTAAACTTCTTCCCAATAAACTTCCTCTAGTCTTGACATGCTCTGCACTGCGTGGCTCACCAGCCCTCTGTCACCCCACTCTTTTTTTTTAATATTAAAGCCCATATCTGAAAATATGACCCTTTTTTAAAAAGATGTTATTGTGAATTGACTGATATTTTACATGGGAGAACAATGATTTTATACTCATAGTTTCATTGCAATGATTACAATCCTTTCCAGGCATCATCATTCAACAGTATTTGCTTCTATTCCCTCTGTTTGCTTTTTTCGTTAATTTTTGTTTTTGCAGGGGGTGATATGCACACAAAAACACTCAGGAATATATAATCATTTAAACAATAAAAGGGCACATTCTGCAAGCTTGCCTCCTGGTTGCCAACACACAGCCTTTCTCTTTCCATGAGTCTAGAGTCTTCAGTTGCTCTTTCTCCTCATGTCCTCATCTCTGCCTCCATCTCTGGTGTTGCCACTTCTCTGCAGAGGGTCTCACATTCTCTCATGCTCTTCTTCTTTGATGGTCTTAGGGTCCTCTGTTCCTGGCATGTAGGATTAACTACCTCCCTCCCTCTTTTTGTTACAAAACTTCTACCTTTACAGTTGTGTCACACCACTCTTCCTCAAAGACTAAATTCATCAGTGAAATTTACTGATGAGGTAATCTTCTCTCAAACTGGTGAACTTCAGATACTAATTTAACAACTGACAATTAACCTAAGTAAATTTATATTAAATGCATAATTTTGAACACAATGCAATTATTATATGATTTAAGGATTAAAATAGGACTTACAAGAAATTTCACTTTCAGTTGGCAACTTTCAACTAATCCATAAATACACACAGGTTCCTGGTCCTCTGAGTTATAAGTGCTTTAGGGCAAAGGCTTTTGAAGAGCCCTTTCTAGCATGTATCATTCTCTCATTATAAATCCTTCTTCCTACAACACCTGCTTCCAGACAACTTTTGAGTCCTGGTGTGTCGCCATAGGATAAGCACTGGACTATACGGTCTGTTTGAACTGCAAGGTAGGCTATTCAAGCTCACCAGCTGTTCCTTGGAAACCCTATGCAGGGTGACTGAGTCAGAACTGACTCGAAGGCACTTAACAGCAGCAACAATAGACAGCTTTATGAAAATGATTCTCATCCTACTCAAATATTTCCCTCTGCAAGCACCCTTCCTCTGCTCCCCAGCCACAAATGACATCTCCATCTGAGCTCCCATAAACTGTCTTTTCATGTCCCCTTTATGTTTCAGATGCACTTTACTTTACTGAAACTCCTTGGCCAAACATGGTGAAGCCATGCCTCACATGCAATTCAATCCAAGAGCTATCCTGTTCTTCTTTCAAGCATACATACATGCATGCATCCTGTCGAACAGGAGCTAGTACCATGCACACAAAGAGAACTCAAGACCTCCTGACCCACTGCTTCTTCTAATTCTATGTGGAAGAATACATATATCAACTCAAAAATATTTACAGACCATTTTGAAGTGTTGACAATATGAAACATTTCATTTACAAGTTAAAGTTGCCATTCATCTGTAAAGTTGCTTTATGTTGTTGTTGTTGTTGTTGTTAAGTGCCATCAAGTCGGTTCCAACTCAAAGTGACCCTGTATAGGGTTTCCGAGGAGCAGCTGGTGGTTTGAACTACCAACTGTGTGGTTCATAGTCCAGTGCTTACCCTACAGTACCACACCAGGAGTCTAAATGCTTTACAGTAGTAACCAAAAGAAAGTTCTCATATTTTAAATGTTACCAAGAGTAAGAAACAAGGCCCACCCTCTGACCTGGTTTTTCCGGTAGTCTTGCTGAGAATGTCTCAGAACACGGTAGCAAAGCCGCAGCATGTACTTGTAGGGTGCGTATCTTTGGTCCCCTAGATCTTCGAGTCGCAGCATTGCGCCTTCTCCTGCTTTCTCCTTAAAGGGTGCTTTAAGAATCCCAAATACCTGCCAGAAATAAAAATAACCACCTAGTCAGATGAATGGAAGTGCATGCTTTGCAACCTACTTTAATTTTTTCTTTATTTTTATTTTTTTTTACAAATAAGAACACTTATCAAAAGTTGGTACTGTTGTTAAGTGCTGTTAAGTCAGTTCCAACTCATAGCGACCCTGTAAAGGGTTACCAAGGAGCAGTTGGTGAGCTAGAACCGTCAACCTTGCAGTTCAAACTGACTTTGTGGTCCAGTGCATTATCCTGCGTTGTTATACCATGAACTCAAAAGTACTTCTGTATTATTTGAATAAAATTATCATAAAGCAGAAATGAAAGGATTCCAGATACAGGCCAATTGAGGAACAGAAAGACACTGCTAATTGATGAAATCTTCTTAGCTATAAACAAACATCTTAAGACAATGTGAGTTCCTGGGCTTGGGGGCTCAGAACCACAGACTCTGGGATCACCACGGTCAATTTAGCATTGCATAGTCCACAAAGACAATTCTCTACATCCCACTTTGGCAGGTAGCGGATGGGATTCAAAAAGCTCATGAGCAGCCATCTAAGGTACAATTATTGGTCTCTCCAGGTACAGAAGACAGAAAAGAGATGAAAATTGAAGATGCTTGGTATCAACTAGTCTAATGGAAAATAAGTAGCTCTGGTGGCATAGTGGTTACGAGTCGGGCTGCTAACCTCAAGGTCAGCAGTTTGAAACTACCAGCTGTTCTGCAGGTGAAAGATGAGGCTTTCTGCTCCTATAAAGATTTACAGCCTCAGAAACGCTGTGCAGGGTCACTATGAGTCAGAACCGACTCCACGGCACACTACCACCACCACCAATGGGTAAATGGAGCAGGTGAACAACACTGAGACCAAAAGAACTCGATGGTGGCTACCACCACAACCTGCTCTGAAAGGGGTCATATTAGAAGGTCCCAGATAGAGTGTGAGAAAATGTAGTACCATGGACTGCCAAAAGAACAAACAGATCTGTGTTGGAAGAAGTACAGACAGAATGCTCTTTGGAAAACTCAAGATTGCAACTTTTGAAATACGATGCAAATTCAAATGCTTTTAATAATTCCATATTCATTAAGCTTTAAATTTTATATTTGTAACACTGTAATAAAATATTTTACACAGGCAGACTAAAATAACTTCAATAAACCATTCAAGGTCAGAAATGTCCGAGAAATAACATGTTTTATACAAAGGAATAACTACTATCAGAGAAAAAGCTTTGTCCCATTAGACTTGAAAGCTTTATTTTATTTGAGAAAAAAATATATAGGTTTTATATCTTTATCGTTGTTGCTGTTAAGTACCTTTGAGTTGGTTCTGACTCATAGTGACCCTGCATAGGATTTCTGAGGCTTTTAAAAGTCTTTACAGTAACAGAAAGTCTGGCTGGTGGGCTTGAACTGCAGACTTTGTGGTTCACAGTCCAATGCTTATTGTATGGAGTCACTACACTCCCCAGTTTTATATCCTTACTCAGTTATAAAATATGAATTGGCAATGTGTCTACTGTTTTTCTTCCCAATTTCACAAGACACACGCATTAATAACAGTTTATTTTAGTATCTTCCTTGAGTCCACAATTAATGCAGTAGTCCATCACTTTAAATAACAATTGACTAAATTTTTAAATGCATAAGTTTGGCACGTCCATATTATTAGGAATTCATTTACTACAGTGTTATAAACAATTTCAGGATGGATAGTATTCAAGCAGCTATAACTTAAGGGGAAAAAACCTAGGGTATTATATAGACCATTCGTGAGCTGATAAGCACACAGTCTTACTTAATGAACACAAGTAGAAAGCAGACGGAGATGGCTGTTTCCAAGTTCTCCTGAAAACTCTTCCTAGACACTTTTTCAGCACCCTTTCTGGATATGTCCTGACCATGTAGGACTTTTAGCTCTGTGAGAGGCAGCAAAGTCCCTGTGTGGTACATATAGTTAATACATTCAGCTGCTATCCAAAACAAAGGTGCCCTGTAAGAAAGATCTAGTGATCTACATCCAGAGAATCAGCCAATGAAAATCCAGTTCTAGTCTGACACACATCATATCACTACAAATCAGAATTAACTCAATGGCAACTGGCTTTTGGCTTTTACTAATAGGTAGCCTACATAATGGTCTCCAGCAATCCTGGTGGTGGTGGTTATGTGCCATGGAGTCGGTTCTGACTCATAGCAACCCTGTACAGGGTTTCCAAGCCTGTAAATCTTTATGGGAGCAGAAAGCTTCATCTTTCTCCCATGGAACACCTGATAGTTTCTACCTGCTGACCTTGAGGTTCGCAGCCCAACTCATAATCACTATGCTACCAGAGCTCCTTTCAGTGATCCTAGCCTCCTATTATTCACACTGTGTGGTTCTCGTTCCTTGAGTGCTATTGTTGTTGTTGTCGTTTGATGCCGCTGAGTAGGTTCCGATCCATAGTGATCCTATGTACAACAGAATGCCTGGTTCTGTTCCATGCTCACAACTGCTGCTATGCTTGGGTCCACTGTTGCTGCTTGTGCCAATCCATCTCGTTGGGGGTCTTCCTCTTTTTCGATGCCACTCCATTTTACTACACATGAAGTCCTTCTCCAGGGACTGGTCCCTCCCGATAATAAGTCCAAAATATAAGAGAGGAAATCTGGCCATCTTGGCTTTTAAGGGGCATTCTGGTTGTACTTCTTCCAACACAGATTTGTTTGTTCTTCTGGAAGTTCCTTCTTGTTGTTGTTGTTGTTGTTGTTGTTGTTGTTGTTGTTGTTATGTGCCGTGGAGTCGGTTCTGACTCATAGCGACACTGTACAGGGTTTCCGAGGCTGTAAATCTTTACGAGAGCAGAAAGCTTCATCTTTCTCCCACGGAACAGCTGTTAGTTGCGAACTGCTGACCTTGTGGCTCGCAGCCCGATTCGTAACCACTACGCTACCAGAGCTCCTTCTGGAAGCCCATAGTATACCTTTAATATTCTCCTCCAATGCCATAACTCAAATGCATCAATTCTTCAACAGTCTTCCTTATTCATTGTCCAACTTTCACATACCATGGCTTTGCGGGATTAATTAACTCACTGGAGTCCTGGTATGGTGCAGCAGGATAAGCACTGAGCTGATAACCACAAGGTCAGCAGTTCAAATTCACCTATCACTCCTTAAAAACCTCAAACACGGAGGCTATGAGTTGGAATCAACTCAACACTTAATGACAACAACAACAAATAAAACACAATAGAACTGATGGGCTGCCATTTCTAAATATAGAATATAAAAATATTAAGGCTTCCATCTTGGATCGCTTGTTTCTAGAAAAAGTCAGCTACCATGTCTGAAGATAGCCCTGTGGAGAGACATGAATGAGCTTCAACGCAGACCATCCCACAGTAGAGCCTTGGATGAATGCAGCCCCAACCAACACATTGGCTGCAGCCTTGTGAAAGACCCTGAGAAAGAACCATACCCCTAAGCCACTCCAGGACTCCTGACCCACAGAAATTGTAAGTATCTGGTTTTTTCAGCCACTAAGCTTTGGGATCATTTGTTACGCAGCAACAGATAACAAGCACAATAATAAAAAAATATTTAAAAAACTTTAAATGAGTAGGAAAATTCACCTGTGCCAATATATTCTGTTCCCTCATTAACTTTTGACGTTCTCGGTTTGGCTTAGTGATAAACACATCCAGAACTTCTTGCCCATTATTAGGCACATCAGCAACAAAGAAGATGAGGTCTTCCAGCAATTTGGTGACAAACCTATCATAAAATGAAAAGGAAATTATACTCTCATGGTATGCTTACCTTTGAAAAAATAAACACTAAGAACTGAAACACTAGAGAAAACAATTAATTTTTTTAAAGAAACTTTTTTAATCAGTAAAAGATAATATCTAATGCAATTAATGTTGACCTAAATCTTTACAAAGACTATCTCCCTCCAGTTGCCCAACCCCCACAGTCAGCTTCAATCAAACATTTGCAAAAACAAGGCTGCATGAACAAAAACAAGGCTGCAAAAACAAATCAAAAACAAGGCTGCATGAACCTCAACATCAGATGCCTTGGTAAGAAACCACCATCAGATGTTGTTCCATGACTGACCAACAGAGTAGAATACTTTTATTTAAGAAAGGACTGATATGCTCAAGTTCTTGAATTATTATAATTAATTTTTTTTTTACCATTAACTAAAACTACATTTCCTAATCATCACTACTTTTCAATCTCTTCAATGGAATATGAAAATCTTAAATGATCTGGAATAGAAACAGAGTTAGCTGGCCATCAGATGCTCTAAATTATTAACAGAGTATTAGCTGATCTACAAAAACCATTTAGCATTGTAGAACGATAGAGTAGCATTCACTTTTAATTCTACATTTTAGTTATTATAACTCTCAGTAGCATTAATACGTGCAATGCCTTAGAAACCCTTCTTCTTTTAGTTTCCCCCACCCCCATGGTCTAGATGTTTGTTTTTAATTGTTGTAAAATATATATAACAAAACATTTGCCATTCAACAAGTTTTACGTGTACAATTTAGTGACATTGATTACATCCTTTGTGTGGTGTAAATATCACCACTATCCTTTTCCAAGTTATTCCAGTACCATTAACAGAAACCCAGTGCCTGCTAAGCACTGTCTCCCACTGTCCTAATCCCGACCACCTCAACTGTCGTAGTTAAGTGCAGCAGAGTAGATGAGTGGATACCAACTTATAGTGATCCTCTACTGGGCTTCCAGGGAGCAGCTGGGTAACCACTAAGAAACATTGGTCTGTCTACATTTGCCTATTTCATAGAAGTGAAGTCAGACACTATTTGTCCTTTGTGACAGACTTAATTCCACTCCACATGTTTTCAAGGTCAAACTATGTCATAGCATGTTTCCGGACTTCTTTTCTCTTTATAGCAGAGTACTCTTCCATTGTATGTGTTAGTGCGACATTTGTTTGTCCATCCATCTGCTGATGGACATTTGGGTTGTTTCCACCATATGAGTACTGTGAACAGAGTTGCAAGAAACACTGGTGCGTGAATTTTTGTTTGTGTTTCTTCCTTCAATTATTTTGGGCCTAGTCTAGATGGAACACATAGAAATCAAATAGACTACATCTGTGGAAAGAGAAGATGGAAAAGCTCCATATCATCAGTGAAGACAAGGCCAGGGGCAGAC